TTCTTAATTAGGATTCAATATACCTAATTTGGAAAAAATGTGATCAATGATGATTCAATTTACTCATTTCTGATTTGAAATACTCTTATTTGAATAATTTTCAGTCACTATTGAGTGAAAAGCAAACACACGAACATGGCCGTGCATGGCTGTGAAAGACATCAACGGCGATATGGACTATTCAACAGAAGAATGCGTATATTGATTTATCTGAACGTCAAGGTAATCGGATATAAATCAACACTATATATACAATACAATTCTCAAAAATCACACAATCCAAATGAATATTTGAATTATTTGATACAATTCACGATTATCAGCAATGTTGTTGAAAGCCATCATGTATTTTACGAAATCAAACTCACCCGCAGTATATAGGTATTCCCAAACTTCACAGATATAATCATGCTGATAACATGTTTGTACTCGAACTTGCAGCAAGTACTTCTATTCAATTATACTTCACTTCGCTAAAATGGAAAGCACACAGGATTGTTTTTATGCACTTAACTTCCATCAAGACGACGCTGCGTTATCAATTGGACAAAACGGCCTCTGGTTAGTCTCGACCTGGCTCGAGTCTTCCTCGCTGATGACCTTAGAGATTCTGACATTCCTTTACTTCATTAAGAATAATTAAAATATATAATATTGTGGTGACTTAGAACGGTCATCACGTTATTCCCAAATACACTGTTCACTGCTTGCACGTTGAGAAGGGACTTAGACAGTGAGATTACTGAGATGCTAACAATATACTGCGCATGGACCGGCCCTTTCACCAATTATTTGATGAAATCGCTCGAGAATGAGTGATTTTCACATGTTTCATCTAGTGATTGAGTAAAAGCCACTCTAATATGGTTTCCTTGTTTGTTTTATTCCAAAATTTGTGCTATTCAATCAAATTTGTCATAAACAATGTCATTATTGGAAGGAATTGTGAAAATACCCAGATTTCATTGAATATTTACTCAAAAAGTTCACTCAGTAGATTAACTCATTACCAAATTCGCAGTCACTCAAAAGGATTTGTTACAGTGTGTACATTTGTAGCAGGTCAATAAGGAGTTAGAACTATAAAAAAATATTACATAAGTGAGGGCGGGAAGTAGTGAGGGGCGGGAAGTAGTGAGGGGCGGGAAGTAGTGAGGGGCGGGAAGTAGAGATGTGTAATGTGACACTTCCCAACCTAACCATTACGTTAGTAATGACAACATTACATATCGGGTGGTCACAAAAAAACCGGAAGTTTTTATTTTCCTCGTGGTTTCATCATTTCTCAACCGAATTCGGATTTCCTGGCGTCGTTTCATAGCTAAAGGGCTATAGTATACAGTGGAATATTTGAAAATTCCATAATGAACAAAAACAAAATGGCGGATTCTACCCAAAGTATTGTCATTTACAAAAACCGCTGGAGAAAAAGAAAATCTGATTTTTTCCGACCTGTACCGATTTCATCTCAGGCTATTCATTTCTGAAGAGAATGAGTACTCGAACATCAAAATCGAACAAATAGTCCAGTAGATACACTCATTTCCTTGCAATTTGTTATGGAGTGAATGTGCTTATCTCGTATAAACGATTATTATTATTTTGCTTCAGGCTCCATGAAAATTCAATCGAATTAGGATTTCTAAGAGTTATTTCAAAGATAAGGAACTGTAGTAGGTACACAATGGAACATTTGAAAATCCAATAATTGAAAGAAACGAAATGGTGGAGAATCCAGAATTTTTGTGATTTTCAAAAATCTCTGGCGAATAAAAAAATCTTCATTCTTCCAATCAGGACCGATACAATTTTAGATCATTGATTTCTGAAAACAATGAGCACTCGAACATCTGAATCGAACAATTAGTCCAGGAGAAACACGTTCTTCTTGGCAAAGTGGTATGGAGTGAATGTGCCAATCCCGTGATATGAATTATTTTTAGTTTGCTTCTGGCTTTATCAGAATTCGATCGAATTTGGATTTCACTCCATAACACTTTGCCAAAAAGAACGTGTTTCTCCTGGACTAATTGTTCGATTCAGATGTTCGAGTGCTCATTGTTTTCAAAAATCAATGATCTAAAATTGTATCGGTCCTGATTGGAAGAATAAACATTTTTTTATTCGCCAGAGATTTTTGAAAATCACAAAAATTCTGGATTCTCCACCATTTTGTTTCTTTCAATTATTGGATTTTCAAATGTTCCATTATGTACTACAGTTCTTTATCTTTGAAATAACTCTAAGAGATCCAAATTCGATTGAATTTTCATGAAGCCTGAAGCAAAATGATAATAATCGTTTATACGAGATTAGCACATTCACTCCATAACAAATTGCAAGGAAATGAGTGTATCTACTGGACTATTTGTTCGATTTTGATGTTTGAGTACTCATTCTCTTCGGAAATGAATAGCCTAAGATGAAATCGGTACAGGTCGAAAAAAATCAGATTTTCTTTTTCTCCAGCGGTTTTTGTAAATGACAATACTTCGGTAGAATCCGCCATTTTGTTTTGATTCATTATGAAATTTTCAAGTATCCCACTGTATACCATAGCCCTTTAGCTATGAAACGACGCCAATAAATTCGAATTCGGTTGATAAATGATGAAACCACGAGGAAAATAAAAACTTCCGTTTTTTTTGTGACCACCCGATATATGGTTGTGAATAAAATAATATAATACACCTCGGTAGTAAAGAATAGTATTACAACGGGACCTTATGCCCCTCGGCTGAAGCCTCGGGATATGAACTTGGTCCCTGTATAATAATGATATTCTTTACTACCTTAGTGTATAAATAACTATTATTCCACTACTTTGGAACACAGTATTTTGTATGCTATCTTGGAACTGAGAAATAAGCGTGTTAAGTTTTAGGACATGAACGTTTGCTCTATGATATATACAGGGTACTTTTGCTACATTTCAAAAGTGAAATGTTTTCAAATTATTTGCTGAACACGTACACTATGAAAAGCTGTTTCATACCAGTAGCTCTATCATACTATACTAACTTTCAATTACTAATTATCGACAAACATATAATTTTCTTTGGAAAATAATAATCCCGCAAAAAATTTATGTTATGTTTGATGCAAAGTTGATGTATTATCAAGGATTTAGGAGAGAAATTTTTGAAAATTTTTTTTTTCAATCCTAAAATGATGCGGAAGTCAACCAAAATATCATTAAACTATTTTACGTATCTACCAAAGTTTTGAACAGTTTTGTCGAAGTTTTTATTAAAGAAATTTCGTAGAATTAAAAAATACCAAAAACCAATAAAAGTTGCAATGAAACGTTCAAATTTGAGATACGTGTAAAATCGGAATAGAAACGACTTCACTCAGTGAATATTCTTGAAATTCAAACAAATATCAGTCTATTTTCAGCGATTAATTTGAAAATATTAATCTTTTGACATGTAGTCACGTGACCCCGACCAAGTAGGCCATTTTGCATCTTTTATAAAGCAAAACCCAGTTTTTCCCATATGATGCTAACTTTCTGAAAGACACTGTATGTATATATGGAGAACTATAAGTAGTACAATTAGAAAATTTGCAGGAACTGTGAAGGAAACATGGAACATCTTACTGAAATAATTTCGTGATTGTGAAGCTTCCGGTCTTTCCGGATGTGTCATTATCTTTGATATCTTCAATAGCACACATTCATCTCATTGTTAAATGATTTTGATTCAAATTCATGTTCATATCCTATACCTAAAATGAACCGTTTGAGAGTTTTTCTAGAAAAAGAACTGATATAAATACAGCATGTTGAACATACGCCATTTTCATTTGAACTACTTTTTTTGGTGATATGCAGTGATTGCATATCATGGATATTGTAAGTTGAACCAGTCACTCACTATACATACAACCACTGAATAATTTACAGTATGCACAAAAAAGTAGCCCAAAAGTGAATGTAAAATATTCAAATCTCAACAGTTATTTCTATTGCTGATTCAATTCTATTATAAAATTGAGCTTTACTCAAACAAAACTTCCCTATACCCAAAACATAATTTCGAAGATATTCCCTAATGAGATTAAACACTAGATGAATGTATGCCATAGTGAATGTTCCATATAGTATTTGATACAGATTCTTATCATTTACAATCATTTATAGATCACATTGTCAGAAAATTGGCATGACCCTGTTTTTCAGGCATTCTTCTTCTTTTTTTTTATTCAAAAATTATTTTAAACCAGTTTTGGGGGAGTTGGAGGGAAGTGCATTTTAGGATACATGTTTATATGAAGAAAAAGTCTTATTTTCATCCTAACAATATGTCCTTAAAATATTTACATTGAATTTAGAATCACCCTGTATAATATGTACTCCTATTTGTACAACTTCAGGAGTTATTTTTCATTTTTTATTAATTTTTTTACATGTTATTCATCCAAACAGTATATGACCAGAAATAAAATTTATACAATCACATACTGGGTGACACAACGAATTCAAGGATACCAGGTTGGATTATATTATTTCAAATGATTTTGAAGATATTCACATTGAAACTTTCAAAACTTCAAACGCCAATATCTTCCTAATAATTTGAATTGATCCTATAAAACCTAGTATCCTTGAATTCCTTATAACAATCTCTAAGGGATTGTGGAATAATATACAGAGTATTCCATTTGAAAAGAAATCCTAAAATGAGAGAAAGTGCCCTCTAGTGAGCTTATTCCATGTTCAAAATGTCATAATAGCTAGAAAAAGAAGAATAATGTGAGTCTGTGTAATGAATTATAGTGATATTACACAATTAATGCATATTACACAAGGACACCTTTTTTTTCTTAATTTTCCTCAGAGCCCAGCTCAGGGAATTAATTGCCCTTGATATAGGTGAATAATTTTTGGGGTAATTTTCTACAATTAAACCTATTTTTAAGAATGATGTTGAATTGATATGTAATATCTTGATGAGGTAACATTTTCTGAAAAATATGCAATGGTGACAAATTACCTGTGAAAAATCCAATTTGAGTTTCAGGCATTGCAAAGAGAGTTCTTTCAGTAGCAACCCTGTAGTGGCCATGTACAGATAGACCAGCACCACCACCCATTACTATTCCATCAATGAAAGATATATAAGGAATCCTGTATGATCCTATCAATCCATTTGTTCTGAAAACATACTTGAAAAATTCTTGTCCAAATTTATCTCCACTCAATTCTGCTTTAGCTAGGACTGGAACATCACCACCAGAGCAAAATGCTCTTTCACCAGCTCCTTTGATCAATACCAGTGTTTTTTTAGATTCCCAATCTTTCAAAATTTTATGCAATTTCGTTATCATAGAATAGGTGATAGCATTCAATGATTTTGGTCTATTCAATGTTACAACTCCTTTATCATCTACATCTTTAGCAATAATATCATCAGGATCAATGGTACGTGCAGTGGATAAACATCTTGTACAAAAATAAGAAGCCTTAAAGTTTTGAACACACTTTGTGGCTATGGACATGGTCCTGTTCAACTGAAACTGCAAAATAACAATATTAGGAAAAGGTCATGGATACAATTTATTGAATCAAATGTTATACCATTTTGATAGACTTAAAATAAACCATTTGAGAGATCTCAACATAAATCAACTAATTTTCATTACAAAAAGTGAGGGGCAACAGGTGGGCACAAAAAATCAGTGATTATTTTTTTAGACTGCACCATATTCAGACATCAGTGTCTAAACTCATAGATTCCAATGGACTAACAACTAAAGACATTAACGACTAATAGTATGAGTATGGTGTAATAACACCAATTTATAGGAATTTTGATTTTGAATTTTAAATCAGCTCAATCAGCTGATGATAGTTCCTTGCAATCATGGTCATGTTGATAGTGACATTAATGACGTCAATATGTCAAGAATAGTAAGTCGATGGTCAACACGAACATGCAGTGTTGCCATATGAAAGGAAATGACTAATTGACCAACCGCCCGAATATGAATATGTCTAGTGCTACGATTGTCGGGCGTTATAACATTTTTTGCAACCAATTCAGAAGCCGTCTACAGTCGTTTACGTCTTGTTAGAAAAAAATTACAGATATTATTTTCCCACCAATACACAATTATGCATTGAATTCATCTCTTCTCAATGAAACTGATCAGTATTCACATTTACTCAGTGTAAATAATAAAAACTTCGAATTCAATTTTTAGGTTAGATATATATATATATCTAATTGTTTTGGATTCTTTTCAATCATTTTAAATTGGTGAAATAAAATAGAAATTCGATCAATTGATTTTATTTCGTGGGAAAATGAATAGTGGTATATATATACTTAATAGTATTGGAAATAAAGAAATAGACAACAAAAGTCGTTCTTACTGCAATATTCCAAATAAAATTCATGAGGAAACTCCACTGTAATATTACTCGTCTTGACGGACTCGTGGTATTGTTCGGCAACACGATTTCGTGAATAGTGAAGCGACAGAATTATCTCGAATATTCAGAACATGATATTACATACGACAACATAAAATATCATTAATATCACCATTTAACTTGAATCTCTAACAGCAGTCAGTAGAAAGTAATGAGTCATCGTTTCTACGTTAATTTTAGAAATATTGTATCAATAATACAACCACCCTCTGCGCCTCACCACTCAATGGCTTAGGCATTTCAAATAAGTCCAATTCAAAATCCAGCAATGATTCACAAATAAATCACAAATAAATTCATAAAAGATTAATGAACAGTAATGAATAATTCGCAGAGATCAGCTGATGACAACAAATCGCTTCTAGAAATGTCAAATTAATCTGTAAACGCGGTTCGCCTATTTCAAAAGTATCATTCGTTTTTCAGTTTTGGCAATACATTTGTTATACCATCAAGTATTGCGCAACCATCAAGGCTGAGTGGAAGAACTTTAGTCATGGTAGAATTATAATATATGGTGTGCGAGTGTTATGCTACGACAAAGGTGGATATATGTCATCATGGCTACGACGCATCTTTGTATACGTCACTGCGACTACGACTACTGATGCGAGTAAAAATAAAACGCTCGCCCTCGCAGTCTAAGTTCGCAGTTATCAATTCGCCATTCGCCCGAGTAGCCGTGATCCGTGATCATTTTGGTGCTAGTATTTAATATTCTTTCGTTCTGAACCAACTGAAATATCTCAATCGAACTGAACTGGTTCAGTTAACATGCGTTCTTTCGCATTTAGCTCATTTCCCCCACCTAACGCTTGCTGGTGAATCGAAGTGAACTTGGAGAACCAAGATTTTCTTCGATTACATTGTTCAGTTGTCAAGTTAATTTGTCACTGTCATTTTCGAATTCAAATGGAAGCGCCAAAACAAATTAAAATAAAAATGCCCAAACCCCATGAAAAGGTGATCTTACATGATGCTGTTAATAATATGGAATACTCCGTTTATTTATCCTACGAAGATGCAGAGAAGTGCAAAAATGGTAATCTCGATTACAAAATTGATGACCTATTATATAATTCCTCATATGTTTATAGATTTGGCTTTTGCAAACTCCCTCCTTTTTCATGCGAAATGTACAAAATCCTATTCGAATGCAGCTCAACCAGTCCAACAGCAAGCATATTCTGCACAGCAATCCCCAGAAGATATTGACGTGGAGCATGATAATGATTATAATAACCCGCCAGTGGAATCCGAAGAAAGTGTGCAGGAAAAGACTCATTGGACTCATAACGAAACTTTGGCTCTCATATCAGCTTATGAAGATCATCTTGAAGATTTCAAAAATGCAAAAAGACGAAAGAAAGTCTGGGCGAAAATTTCTACTGCATTGAAAGAAACTGGGATTTCTCATGATGCGGGTAGGTGTGAGGTCAAATGGAAAAATCTCTTGAGAACATATAAGTCTATTAAAGATACAAAAAAAAAGACTGGACGAGGAACCGTTAAATTCTTATATTTCGACAGACTAGATGGAATATTAAGTGAGAGACCAGTTATGAATTGTACCCATACATTCAGTTCCACATCACGGAATTCTGAAATTTCTGAAGAATCCAATAATGATGTTGGTGATAACAGTACTGTTCAGATTTCACACCAAACAGTTGAAGCAGTAGTTCCACCAATAAAATCATTTAAAGAAAGGCGAAATAAAGTGAATGAATTAATTAATCTCAAAATTGATTATTATAAGAAAAAGAAACTGGTTTTCATGATATTTTCCTATAGAAATTAATATTCTCTGTGAGCTCAAATTCATCATACCTGATGCCACATTTGGCCAAAAAAGTACTTCAAATTCTGGCTCAAATTATTGCTACGGGAAGCAATCATCAAAAGGTATACTCACCAAAACAAATTCCATCATATTCAATCCTTCACATATATTTCTAAATGTGTAATTATTATTAATAACAATATAATAACCTTATTGTTTGATGTATGTGACACTAGCGACAAACCGACAAACAAGATTCTTGTAATTAGTAATCCATCCGAACCTCTTCTTTCGTCTTAATCACGACAGCTAGATCGATGATACAAAAGTTCAGTTTCATCTTGTTCAGTTTCACTTTGATCAGTTCAGTTAGATGGTTCAGAACGAAAGAATATTACTATAGATTGGTATATACTCGAAATGACGTTATGCGCGGTGAAGACGAATTCAAGATACGTGAGTAGCACCACCATATTAAATTTCCACCATCAGTGTAGCCAGAAGAAAAAACTGATTATACAGATCTATGACGGCTAAATGGACTGTCTGACGAGTACTAAATGACTGTCCAATCACTCAGTTCAGTGTATTCTCCACCAGAGGGGTTTACTTGCCGTCCTTTGCGGAGAAGTCATTTGTTTAGCTCTCATTCGGTTGTTTTCCAATAACATAGGTTATATTGAATTATTATTATTTTATCAAGTGTCAAAACGGTGTCACTGTCAGGTCCCTGATGTGTTCTGTTGAATATCGATAAATTCCTTTACTTTTTCGGATTTTCATTCAATCAAGCATTCTTCTTTGTGTTTAGTTCTGGTAGTTTATTTATTCAGGTTTGCTAGTTGTGTCTTCATCATGTATTTACAGCCTTCTAGCGTATGAAATGAAATGTAGTACTCATACCCAGTGATAAACTCCACAGCAAGAATGGTCGAATTTTATTTTGGAAGGCATTAGTAAGAATATGATTTTTCATGTAGGTACATTTTTCTGATGATTTTCAATTTCAGCCTCGATTCCACCATTAGAACACTGGTGTTAATTCTGGTGGTGAAGTTTGTGTCAATGATTTTGGAAGACACTATCGGATCTACATTCAGAAAGGATCGCTTACCATAATTGTCAAGGTATGTTTAGTCTGCATTGTTGTTGCGTAGCTAGGTAGGCCAGTCCCGATCAGCCTCCCACTGAGCACGCATGTCTTCGTGTAAATATAATGTCTTGTGATGTCCGTCCGGCCGGACTCATGTCGTGGTATTTGTAAATGTTAAAGCAGTCGTAGAATAAAAGACCATGAGGGTGTAAACGATGTTTTTTAGCCAGTGCAGTTTATCACAAAGAGAATATTTAATTGATGAATTTATTCCAATTATATATTCTACGACTATGAAATACTAAAATAGTCCTTGATATTTTCTAATGATCATTTTTTATACTTATTTCAATTCATTTGCATGACTTCGTTGTGAATTATTTTTTCAATTTATTTGATGTCATAATCTTTTATTATATACAGGGTGATTCACATGAGAACCGACATAGAGCAGGGGCATGTAGGGGTTCCAAAATATGGCAATTTAACGCAACTTACCTCTATACCAAGTTGCTCCCCTAAGGAGTTATAGGCTTTGAAAATGAAGTTATAAATTTTGAGAAAAATCAATATCTCCATTTTACTTGGTTCTTTGGGATTTTCTCTCCTCGTTTCTATAAAATGAAAGTATTCGTATTATTTCAATATATTTGTAGAGGGACAAATCAGATGATTTGCCCCAAAATGTCACTGCGTTTAACAAATTTTTCTATCAGGGAGTCTAAAAGAAAAATCCAGTAGCTTGTCAGTGACAATTTGTTTGAAAAAATTTTTGAAGGAAAAAAATATAGATATATTGAAAAAATATCGAATTTTTACTTATCTTTGGACGTTTCGGGACCGATTCTGCTCCCGTTCTCAACATGTAAATGCAAATTATTTTTCTTTGAAAGTTGTGCTGCGTATAGTTTGACACTTTTCAGTGTCATACTGATGTTGGCATATGAATGAGTGATTTTAGTCAACAAATGAGTTACAGGATGTTTTCTTTAATTGATCTTGAATCTACCATTTTCATGTTCAGTTTTCAGTAGTGAATACCATGTTCTATCAATATCAACTGAACAGGAAGCAATGCTATTGTCTCCGTTTAGAAGAATGCAAGCGGATTCCTTTATTTTTCTTTTTTGTTTGTTATCTTCCTTTCATAGGAAAGGACTATACGCAGCACAACTTTCAAAGAAAAATAATTTGCATTTACATGTTGAGAACGGGAGCAGAATCGGTCCCGAAACGTCCAAAGATAAGTAAAAATTCGATATTTTTTCAATATATCTATATTTCTTTCCTTCAAAAATTTTTTCAAACAAATTGTCACTGACAAGCTACTGGATTTTTCTTTTAGACTCCCTGATAGAAAAATTTGTTAAACGCAGTGACATTTTGGGGCAAATCATCTGATTTGTCCCTCTACAAATATATTGAAATAATACGAATACTTTCATTTTATAGAAACGAGGAGAGAAAATCCCAAAGAACCAAGTAAAATGAATGTACCACCTCCTCGATTAACCTACAGACAGTATTTATCAATATCTCCGTTATTCTTGAACTTGAAGCAACCAAATTTGGTACACTTTGTGGATGTATTTAGGGCGTTACTTGACAGTAACTAGAGTTTAATTAAAATTTGTAAAG